GTATCAGAGTGTTCCATCTCATTTCCCTTTGGGGTTGCTGTAGGTGATCTGGAAGTCTGGTTTTGAGACTTGTTTACGTGTCTTCTCATTTTGACCTGGTGTGGGGGGGTGCTGTTGGGGCCCACAGGGCTCACCTCCTCTGAGCTGGGAATGGTGGTACAGCAGCCTAGAAGCCCCTTCCTCTGGGCTGGGAGCAGCAGGAAGGACGGTGGCCTGGAAGTCCCTTCCTCTTGGCCGGGAGTAGCAGGAAGGACGACGGCAGCCCAGAAGCCCCTTCCTCTGAGCTGGGAGCGATGGGACGGCACCTCAGAAGTCCCTTCCTCTAGGCCAGGTGCGCTGGGACAGATGGAAGCCCAGAAGCCCCTTCCTCTGGGCTGGGAGCGGCAGCATGGACATATTACTATAGTTTCATGTGGAAAATAAACTTGGATGAGCCCCTACAATAAAAGTTCACACTGGAACATGCTAGAATCAACATTTGAAGCTAACAAAAATTTAGTAATATTTCTAGAAGATTATTATATTGAGTGTTCAATGACATCACAGTGTCCACTCTGAGCAAAGTTAATTTGAAATAAATGTTAATTAATTTACATTTACAGATGTGTAAACACGTGAAATCAACAGCAGAGTCAAGTCAATGAAGATTTTAAAATAGTTAATCAAAATCATCTAAATTTGTCACTGTAGACATCATCGAACTATAAACTTGAATATAGCAAAGTGATATAGACATATCAAAAGAACAGGCTGTGATAAGATGATGCCCCAATTTTTAAAGAAACAAATTCTTGCCAAAGCAGGGCAAAAATGTATCAAAGATGTAGTAACTATAATATTTCCTTCTAATTTTAAAAAGATAAATTAATTTATACCATTGCTTAAATACTATGTGTCACTGTTCTGTAAAACCTCAAAACTTAGATTTTTCTAAGAAAACATATTTCTACAAGTTATTCTGCAATGACTACACATTTACTATAGAAATTATTAGTTTTCTGATTAGAACTAATTTCACTTACTAACTGAACCCTTAAGTGTAAAGCACTTTTCCTGAGCTACTGTAAAATGTATTTAATTATAGCATTTGACTATTTCTACTTTAACCATGGTTTTAAGTTCTCTGAGGTTAACATATACTTTCTTTTGCCAAAGTCTGTACCAAATGGATTAAAAAAATATCACCAAAGATGTTTAACTGCCACAAAGTCTATAAATGATAGTATCAGTTTACAAGTCCATACTCTGTGCCAAATATTTTATCACATTCAGTCTTCACAACAACCCTCCATAGAGGGCACCATTATCTTCACTTTACAAAAGAAACTGAAGCTTAGAGACATTCAATTATGCATCCAAGATCAAAGAGTGACTAAGTACTGTACTAGTACTGCCCAGACTGAAATCCAGATCCTGTCTCCTGAATTCAAGCTCTTCACTGCTTCAGATTACCTCACAGAATGACACCAGTTGGGACAGATTTCTGAACTGAATAAAAATCATTGCGAATAAAAAGTATAAATTAAAATTTTGTATTGAAACTACCTCTAACTTTGAATCCTAACTGAAATCCTGATATCCATTAAAAAATAAAACTAATCCATAAGGTAAGGTCAATGTTCTAAGGCAACTAGTAATTAAAAATTATAACCCTACTGTGCTAGGCAGTATGGATATAATAATGAAATTAGAGGATATGGGTCCTCTTGTCTTCACAATTCCCAATTCTTTCCCAAGTTCTTAGAACTTCAGTAGAGATAGGAAACAATCCACTTTACTAACTGAACTGGAGTAAGAGAAAAGAAGATAAGCTTTTCTCTCATTAAAAAAATTAGCAATAAAGCAACATTTTATTTTTAAAATAACTAGCAAATGACTTCATATAACGTTATCCATACACTGCCTGAGTATTTTCATCTTAAGAGGAAAATCGTGAATTGCAATTTGAATAATCACAGGTTCACAAAAATGAATTTGCCAATGGAGGGATTCTTTCAGTCAGGATGCAACTTAAAGATACTTCTTACTTTCACCAATGTAATAATACAGTTTCCTATGGAGTGACAATCAGGTACTCTCCTGGACTCGGTACAAATACCTCTAAAATAGGTTTATCACCTATTTAAAAAGGAGGAAAATATATCCTCTCTATATTTTTTCCTTGTGAAATCAATCACTGAGTTTAAATATATAATCTGTACTTTTTATATGCACTATTTTAAAATGAAGTAAAACTGCATAAACTAAAAAATTTTACATTACTATAGAGTACACCGTTTCATAAGCGGCATTTGGTTTTTGATACATCACCCCTAAATATGATTTTTAATTTTTTACTAGTGCTCCCAGATAAAGAACAGAGACATTTTTGTTAACTAGGAATCACAGGACAGCAGAAACCCAGCAGAACTCTACTTGTTACAGATTTAGCCCACTTTTCCCCTACTCTGAAAACTCTCCATGAAAACACTCTCAGCAGCCAAGGGCTAAGTTAGAGTTTCCTTATCCACTGCCCATTTCATGGGAAGGTGGTGGAAGAACCAGACAGCTGAGACACCTTGGACTTGTATTTCAGCACAAACAAACTGCACCCTTTTCCAACCGTAGCATGTTCTATCATGAAGGTTTAAAGGTTTAATGTTCAGGGCTATGACTTCCACATAATTCCTTCAACAGAGGTCAGGGGTCAGCAAAGACACCCCAGGAAGGAGGAAACTGAATACTCTAGTCCCTTGGAACAGACTGCTGACCACTTACCATTACACTAATATTTTTCACCAGGGGGCTTAAGAAAGTTCTTCCAACCCTATGGATTGACTCAGCCAGAGGGAAAGGTCTCTGATCTTTGGGAAAGGAGTTCCCCATATTCCACATTATCCAATAACATATAAAGCTGTCATTCAACATTCAGACATTCCACTATATGTAAACGTCACACACTATAGGTAGAAAGTTAAACTAACACCATAAACTGCTTCACACTTGCTATTTGCTGTTCTTAAAAAGTATTAAGACAGAGTAAAACAAAATCATGGGATCAGGTAAGACTACTAACTTTATCTTCCAAATTATTTCCAAGTTTACTCTATAATGTAACAATAGCAAAACACATTCCCTCTAAATCCAATGACATCATCATAAGAGACCAAAGAGGCAACTGAGATTATTTAAATAGCTACTTTCCAGATCTAGCTAGTCTCTAGGAAAAGAGAAAAATCTGTATCAACACTGATCTCACACTGCCTAATGTAATGAGACCAAGATACATTTGTTAACTCTAGCATTTCTGACTTTACCAACAAGAAGTAGTAGAAAATAAACTATCACTCAATAATTATTTCAATAGATTCTTCATCTCTATTCTGTGTCACTGAACAGAAAACAAAATGTTTATGGTCTATATTTATGGCTATAAATCAAACTATCATACTTTTACACAAAATCCTGTATATGCTCTCCTGACAAGATATAAATATACACAAATACACTATCATTATATTTTATAAATGTGTCATGCCATTTAACTGACTTTAAGAAGTTTTCCCCAGTTAAAAGCATATAAAAATTCATGAATTTTATGACATGCTTCCAAGAAAAATGACTAAATACAATTAAAAATAAGAACTTAAAATAGTAAGTTGATACCAAAAATTAAAAGGTTTTAATAACTAAAGTACCTTTTAGCACTAGTTGACAATTTAGCAGCTGTTTTGCTGGATATTTTTCCCTCCTTTTTCTTGGGCTGAACTTGCTCTCTTTCTGGTTCTTGCTGAACACTTTCACGTTGGTCTCCATCAGAACTTCCTCCACTAGTGCTTGGACTGTCATCAACTCTTTGTGCCTCAGTGGACATTTTTGATCCTGGATTAACGAATCAAAAGTCATTTATTCAGCTGTGGGGAGGACTAGAATAAGATATTCCCAGAAGGAGAGAAATTGAGCCTGAAAATAGAATTAAGTAAAACTCAATATAAAATGGAAGTTGGCCATTTATAAAACAAATGAAAGTTGGCCATTTATAAAACAAACATGTTTAGGAACTGCCAAAATTTTTCTTTCATCCACTCATGCAAAATTTATACACATGCTCATAATAAGCTACTTATAACAGACAAAATGTAGAAATAATTCAAATGTCCACTGATTATGCATAATCAAAATGTGATATAGTCACATAATGGAATATTACTCAGTCAAAAAGGAATGAAGTACAGTATCTACATGTTCCCACAAGGATGAACCTTGAATCATTACACTAAGTGAAAGAAGACAGTTACTAAGGACCACAAACTGTACTCTTCCACTTACATGAAGTGCCCAAATCCATAGAGACATATAGAGAGGCTAGGAATGAGGAGAGAAAGGGGTATGATTGCTAATGAGAATTAAGTTTTCTTTTGGAGTGATAAAAATGTTCTTAAATTAGATAATGGTGATGGTACACAACGCTAAATAGTATAAAAACCACAGATTTGTACATTTTTAAAGGGTGAATTTGGGGCTGGAGGTATAGTTCAGGGGTAGAAATCATGTTTAGCATGGGCAAGGCCCAAGGTTCAATCCCTAGCACCAAAAAGGGGGAGCAGTGAATTTTACAGTATGTATCTCAATAAATCTGTTACTTAAAACAAACACAAAAGGACTGACGGCCTAATCTCTACCATGCACTATGCTAAGCCCTCTGTATACAGTTGTGAAAAATTTAGACAAGTAAGCCAACTTGTTAAGTACCCTTCTAGAAGTTAGGAAAAACAGCCACAGAAACAGAGAAATGGGAACACTAACATCCAATCAATACATCCTCAAGGCTAGGTTCCTAACAATCCTCTAAACTAGTAAATTGTGTTTAAGTAATCTTTAAGATAACAGAAGAACACAGAGGCTCCCACAATTCTAAAGAAAAACTGAACCACATGATGGTGGTAGCACTGACCCAGCTACACACAGAACTGAGCAACCATGTTTCACAACCATGTTTCGCACAGACTATACTGAGACACTGAAGAATTCATTTTTTTTTCACAGTTGGATGAAATATCCCTCAAGGATTTCAAATTCCCTTTGCTCTAAGTTCATGCTCCCTAACTAGCTCTGATTACCTACTCAGTTCCTCAATATCTTAATATCTAGGTAGCAGACACACAAAATTCCAGTAAGTGAAAAGGGATATTCCCCTCTCCACTGTCATTTTATTATAATCAACTTTTTAGTTTGATTACTAAGAATACATTTGTTAAGACCCACCTAGCTTGCAGTGTGCTGATAAATCCAGAACTGAACTAATAAAACCATTACCAAGACCTTATAGAGCCTTGTGCTCACCATGATACTGCCATCTAAGAATCACCTTGAGTACCATCTACCTATTCTGACACTTCCTTAAACAACAAAACTACAACCCATGTGGTGGTGCACACCTATAATCCCAGCTCTCAAGAGGCTGAGGCAGGAGGATCACTGTAAACTGGAGGCCAGTCTGGGCTACATAGTGAGTTCAAGGCCAGCCTGAACTATATAGTGAAACTTTGTCTAAAAAAATAATAATAATAATAATAATAATAATAACACTACTGTATTTAAGATGTACCGTTAACAGCACAAAATAACTCTTTTATTAAAGACAGACTGAGACAGGAGGATCACAAGTTCAAAGCCAGCTCTGACTATATAGGGAGTTTTGAGGCCAGCCTGAGCTACAGAGTGAGACCGTATCTCAAAACATAAAAATAAAAAAAAAAACCTGAACATATTCTTTTTGAGAAAGTATACTTTTGATTTCTCAGTCAAATTAGGACAAAATACAACAGTTTCTATATGATCAAGAATAAGTAAAAGAGGGCCGGGGATGTTGCTCAGTGGCACCGTGCCTGCCTTGTAAGTGCAAGGTCCTGAAATGGATCCCCAGTACCAAAAAAAAAGGTAAAAGAAACACACTTCAAATAAAACACAGCTCATTACTATAACGTACTACAAATAGTTGACACTGATGAATATTCATTATCGTCAAATATTTAACTTGTAGCTTATTCTAAACCAAGACAATTTTGTAATAATAGACTTCTGCAGATTGAAATTGTTATAGTAAAACAAACTAAAAAATACTGTAAAGGAAAAGCACTGCAAAAGACTGAAAGAACCAGGAAGCACTGAGAGATAAAGTCAACAGAAAATACTAAAAGCCCTCAGATACCAAACCTACCACCACTTCTGCTCAACCCTATCAGCTACTTCATGCCAAATGAAAGCCAGGTCTGCTAAAGAGTTCTGAAACACACTGACAGGCAATCTACTTCTCCACCTGTTCTGTAAATGGAGAGCATCAGTCTCCACAGCTATGACATCTTTTATGAGCACTTAAGTCACTTAATAGAATACTGAAATTTTATATCAGTATGTTTCATGTCTAGCTCTAAAAGACCAAATATTTTTTCTTTTCATTTTTAATTTTACTTTAAATTATCATTCTTGGATTTAATATTGATTTTTTTCATCTTATTTCTTTCACTTAACATATATCAACAGTTTAAAGCCTGTTAGGCATGTACATAATGGCACATTAGATGGAGCAGATGTGCATGGAAGAAAGATAACAATTCTTAGAGAACAGCACTCAGATACAGCAAAATGCTGCCAACAATATCATTTTATACATTTTAAACCAGAAGCAATCCATTACATGACAAATATATGAGAACTTAAATGAAATAAAGTTCTATTATATTGAAGCTATAGCTCCAGTTTAAGTAAGATTTAATAAACTATGCCTAGAGCTTCAGGTGTGTCTCAAATCAGTTATAAAGCTACACATTCTTCTCAATATTTTTATTGATGTACATTTACATATGATCTAATGCCACGATTATAAAAGACTACTCAATGATACAATGAGCATAATCCAAAATCAAAACATCATAAACTACTCTAGAACATCAGAAGATAACTAAGGTAAAAATTAGTCCCAACAGAGAACTAATGAAAACACTATGAAAGGACCAGGGTGGAGTTCAGTGGTAAAGTGTTGCCTAACAAGTGCAAGGCCTTGGGTTCAATTCCCAGCACCATAAAACAAACTAATAACAACCACCCAAAACAAAACAAAACACTATTAAAAATGGCCTCATAGAGGTATAATTTCCACAGTTTCATACAAAAAAGTGTATTTCCACTTTTGATCTAAAACATTATTTTATTCAAATCTTAATCTACAAATGATAAATTCATCTGAGACCACTGATAGCCAGTATTAAAACTTTCAGAAATAAAGTTTTTATATCTCTCTCAAATAGTAAAAGTAGGGGAAATTCCTGCTGGCTTTGTTTTTTCAATGTCTATTACAGAAAAAAATATGGGGTAGAAACTTGTTGTACCACTCAGGGACAACTAATTTTTTTTTTTTTTTTGGTACCGGGGATCGAACTCGGGCCTTTGCGCTTGCGTCGCAGGCGGCGAAACCACTGAGCTAAAATCCCTGGCACGGGACAACTAATTTTTATGAAGAAAATCTATAAATCATTTTAGTTAGTTGTAAGTATTATAATGGTGTTTTATCTCTCTAAAATATAAATACAAATTTTGAATTAAAATTTTTTAAATATTACCTTCTAAATAAACATTTTAAAGTCAATTCCTAAATAGGTAATTTGATCTAATTTTCTAAAGGAAAATTAAACTCTACGGTGATGAACATAGACATAGTCTTCAACGGCAGTTTCAAAGATATGACACAAATTAATTTTCTTTATACCCCCAAGTAAAACTGATTTCTAAACATAAAATAAAAAGACAGATTTTCTTAAAACGTGTTACATTTAAGAATTCAAATATGTTTGCTTCAACATATAAACTGCTTAAGATTGTATTAGCTCTATGCTGTAATTACAGTCCTGGAAATTGGCAACATATAGTGAGTGAAACTCACATTTTTCATAAATATGCAATGATTTGGCTATAAATATTACTGATAACAAAAGCAAGGACAGTCACTCAATAACTTCACATTACTCTCCAGATAAGCCTTATAATCTTATGTCATAGCATAAAACTGCAAAAGCAAGATTTTATTTGAGCCTTTATAAACAGGAAAACGTTTGATTCTGTCGTCTGTGTCTTCCAGTTTTCCTACTCATATTTCTAAACTTTTCTAAAATGTAAAATAACAATTTATATTATATGCACAACATCTAGCAATATACAGCTTTTAATTGCAAACATATAGTTGCAGGAAATAATAGTGGAACCTGGGGGGGAGGGTGTGAATCTGTAAAACTCCAAAGAGGTAGGGAGCATCCGAACGAGCTGAGTAAGAACATTTAGAATCCCAAGGTCCAGTTTCAATTATCACATATTCAGAAACATACTTTTCAAGGAATTAGGAAATAAAAACTAAGAGCTTAAAAATCTTTCTGAACCGCAAGATAATCTGAAGGTTAAGTCCTTGCACTTCCTTTTGTACTTCCAAATAAAAACACTTGAGTAAACACTCAAGAATACACAATGCAAAATGATGCATCTTGAAAACATGCAAATAGGTCTAACAGCTACCAAGCACAGGATGTCTTTATAAAGGTGCCTTAATTTCCTTTAGAGAAGACAGACTGACATTTCTGGTTAGTATTAGTAGGGGAAAGCCACAAGAAGCCACGCTTTACCTTCATTAGAAATGGTAAAGGGCAAAAGGATCAAAACATTATGAGAAGACAGGGGAGAAGACAGAAGAGAAGGGAAGGCGGGGGACGGAAGGAATCCAGTTTCAAATCAGGCCAGTGGGGGCTGCAGAGAAGAAACCAGAGAAAAATGGGCTTTGGATCCAAACTGTGACAAGCACCAAGCATCACAAAAGACCAATACAACACACACTCCACACCAGTGCATACACAGATACAACCCACAAGGTCTTCTCCGGGCGGGCTACCGAGATGCAGCGACAGCGGAGCCAGAACCGGCACTGGCCAGGGGAGACACCATGTGCACCAATTATGCAATTAGGGAAAATAGCAAAGGATCAAGCCGGGCGCTTTCCACCGTGACATTTATCCTGTACTTTTGCAAAGACTTAGTTCCAGGATGCAGCTAGGAGAGGGAGAAGGCTGGAAGGTTGGAGAAGGATGGGGAACTGAGAAGGGAAGGGGGTAGAAGAAGGGCAGGGACGGACGAAGCAGAAGGGGGGAGGATGGGAAGGAGGGGGAGGGGTGGAAAGGGCGAGAAACGGGGGCAGGAGGCCCTTGGGAGGGGGCACCGGGAACCGGGCACGCGGTGGATCGGGCGGGAGAGAACTAGGGCGCGAGCGGGGCGAGCAGAACCCTGTGGCGTGGAGGGGAGGTCGGGGAAAGTGGGGAGGACGCGGCGAGAGAGAAGACGCCCGAGGCTGGGGGCACCAGGGCGGCCCGGTCGAATACCTGGGGGGGGGGGGGCGCCCGCCGAAGCCCCGGGGCCAGGCTGCCGAGGCGCGAGGGGGCGGGCGGCTGGGGGGCCCGGGGACTGGAGGTCCCCCGCAGACCGTCTAGTCACCGAAAGCCGAACCCACGCACCACACACCCGACCGCCCTGCCACGCCTGTCCCCGCCACGCTCGCGCCCGCTCGGACTCACCCCTCGGCGTCGCCGCCGCCGCCTCCGGCCGTTTTAGCCCCGGCTCCCGAGGCTGCTACCGCTGTGACCGTCCCTGAGTCCTGGAAAGTGAAGCCACCACCTCCACGAGCCGCCGCCGCCCGGCCGTCCGCGCGCGTGACCGCGAGTGCGCGTGCCCGGACGCCCGCCCGGGAGAGAACGCGAGAGCGCGAGCCCCACGTCTGCCGTACGGCGCCGCGCTCCCCCTCCCCTTTCGCCCCTCCTCCACCGGCGCGCGGCCGCGAGGGGGCGGGGGCGGGCGCGCGCACGGGCGGCGGGCTGCCCCGCTGGCCGGAGAGGGGGCGGGGAGGCGGCGCGGAAAAGTAAAGTGACAGCTGAGTCCCGCTCGCGGGCCGGGCCGCGGAGGGCGTGAGCCAGAAGCGTCCGACAGGGAAGGAACAGCAAGCACCCGGAGAGGTGGGGGAAACCGAGGCGGACCGGGCGGCTTGAAGGGAGGGGACGCGGGGACCTTGACGGGCACGCGCATTAAAGAGAAACGCTGGCTAGAGAGCAGGGGCTTGCCCCAAGACCTTGCAGGGTACCGCGGGGGTCGGCTCGTGCTGCAGTCCTTGCAGCCCTTGACTTCACACTTGCCTCAGAGCTTTCACAAAGTAGCCTCAGGGACTGACGCTGAGGCCACATTACCCTAAACTCCTGTGCTCCTGGTGCCCACATGCACCCAAGGTAGGAAGACTTCCCTCTGGCCTTCGAAAGTTCGCCCGGGGTAAACCTGACTCCTCATGCGACACTGCAGCGCCAGGGTCCTTCTGCCTGAGGCTCGCCCTGATCCAGCAGGCTCCCTGGCCCTTAGCTAGGCGCTGCACACCGTTTAGGCCTGCTCTGTTGGGGGTGGGGGGGTGGAGGTGCGGAGAGGGCAGCACTAGGGGAGCAAGTGGAAGCTGCCCCAACACCCAACTAATTGAAGGGTGTGGGTTCACCAGCAGTGTTGTGGGTAGGCCGAGGAAGCATTCGGTTCTCCTAAAATATTTGCCCCAAATAACTTTTTTAAAAACTACACACTTGGCAAAGTTGGCTGCCATAAAATTTTCCTCAATCCCACCTCCTTCCCCTCTTACCAGCTGAATACTATTACTGCTTCAAATTTCTCCAGTGTATAGACTTCGGAGCTGTGTATGTGGGAAATTTGTCCTGTTTAGACAGGGCTGAAGACAGACCCATACCCACATACCCCAAAGAAAGAGGCAGACTTAGTGTAATCTAGGTCACTTGAACATAACCTAGTCAAATGCATATTAGAGGAAAACCAGACTACTGTGTCAGATGCAGTGAGCAGTCCAGAGCAGCTCAAACAGGCTGAAGAAATCAGTGCAAAGACCACAGAAGCCAGGCATAGCACTCACCTGGAATCCCAGCTACTCCAGAGGCTTAGGCAGAAGGGTCATAAATTGGAGGCCAGCCTGGGCAATTTATGAAGACTGTCTCAAATTTTTAAAAGATGGGGGCGTGGGGACAGGGCTGGATATGTAGTTCAGCTCTACCTGGTTTCAATGCTCAATACTGCCAAGGGGGAAAAAAAAGAAGATTAGAACTAATCAAGCGGTATGCATATGTTTAGAACCAAATTCTTTCTTCAAATGTCTTGTTCAAAGATTGACTATTAATTTATAACATCTCCGAAAATCGCCAAAAGCAAATATTGGCATCTAGCCTGTATAAATCACCACTGAAAAAAAATACATAATTTATCTTAATTATTTGCATATTATTTTCATTTTAATGATTATGTTTTAAGAACACAGAAATATCGAAGTCTTCCATGTGATTTGCAACTTGGTACTGGGGATTAAACCCATGGCTTCTTACATGCTAAGTACATATGCTCTGCCACTGAACTACAACCCCAATCTCTCATGCCCTATGCTTTTCTCCAAATAAACTGCTCTTGTATATATTTTTTCTATATGTGTCCTGTTAGTCTCTGTTTGTTTACAATGTATGTTTTATAACAGAGTGCTCTTCTGTTACAGAAAATATCAAAGTTGGTGTTTAGTCCTTATTCCTTGGCAGCTGGGAGCCAGAATGCGGCAATGTCATCTTCCATCCCTGAAAAGGAGTGGAAGAGGTTCCACTGCTTGACTGCTGAAGCTGGTTCCAACAGTAAGTATTTCATTTGTCTGGAGATGTTTTAACCACTATTTACTATTTATAAAGTTCAAAAAAGGAGTACAAATCAGAGTTACACTTTTCATCCATTCAAGGAATATTTATTGAGTATCAGGCACTCAATATTGAGTCTTGGTGATAGGGCTGTAACTGAATAAGTGAGAAATATCCGAGTCCTCATGGAGCTGTCTCTTCCTGACCCTTCCCTGTTCTACATTCTACATCCAGTTTATCAGCAAATTCTGTTGACTCGGCCTTCAGAAATATATCCTGAAGGTGTCCACTTCTTCCTACCCCCTCCTCACTGTTAATGCCCTGGTCCAACCCACCATTATCTCTCAATCATAGTCTCCTACCTGATTTTCCTACTTCCCACTATCCATCTACCTGGCAACCCCTACACAACAGTCTGAGTAGTTTTTAAAAAACAGAGATTATGTCTGTCCTCTTCTCCAAAAGGCCAGAGGCTTTTACAGCAGTAGCCAGTTCTTCCAGTGGCTACATGCCTTCAGTGATCTGCCTGCCACTCCCAACTAGGACCCCTGTGACCTCAAATTGTAGTTTCCCCTGATCCTCATCTCTCTCCAGCCCCACTGACCTTGCTGTTGTAAAACACACCAAGCGTTCCTCAGCCTCAAGACTTTTGTACTTTTGTCTTTCCTATCTCTAGAACATTATTCTTTCCTACTCCTCCCCTAGAACTTCTGATCTCCCTCCTAGGCTTTATTTTTCTCATGACCATCATCTGACATAATTTTTACTTACTTGTTTATTTTAATCTTTCCCATCTTCCCTTACTTCTTTCTCCAGACCCCACCCCACACCATCCTATACATACATACATGTAAACACTTTAAGAAAAAGGATATTGTTGGCTGTGGTTCACTGCTATAAATATTCAGTTAATACTGGTTGAGAGAGAAATAGAATTCTTTTAATTTGATGACAATAGTCACTGCTCTAATTTCTTCAATAAAAATAATTAGCAATTTCTGTGTTCTTAATTTGTAGTAGGCAAAGTTCTAAGCATTTTACATACACTAGGCCACAGCTATCACATGGGCTGGTTCTGTTTCATCAGCCTCATTGAACAGATCAGAACCCTGAGGTGCAGAAAGATTAAGTTACTTGCCCACAGTTACACAGCTAGTTAGTAGGAAAGCTAGGATTTGAAATCAGCCATTTGGCTATGGAATCTCTGAACCTCAGGACAGTTTACCATGATCCCAGTGTTGCACAGATTTTCATTTGATTTTCTCATTCCTCTCCCCCAAGATTCAAATTAAGATTCTAGGACAAATAGCTCACCTCCTTTGTATTTCCTGCTCTGGCCCGCCAATCTGTCATCATGAGCTTGCTCTCTCCTTCCCTACATTTATTTTTGGTCTTTAACAGAGGCTACATTTTCCCCCTTAGAATTGGCAAATGGCACTGTTTTCTGAAGAGTTCCTATAACTTTGTTACAGCCTACTTCATGAGAAGATAGTCACAATTAGTTTTTCAGCTTGACTGGATGGGTGAGAGAAAAGACCTCTCTGGGGGGATTGGACTAGATTTCAGCAGAAAGCATCATAGTGGTAGAGACCTGCCACTTGTTTAGAGAGCTTCCATCCTATTAGGCATCCAGTGATTGGGGGTTATTAAACATGTGGATTATACTCTACACGAAACATCATATTAGCTCAGATCCACCTGAGAGAATAGGAGCAAAGACAGTGATATTTTTACTTAATGCCTGGCTTGAGGGAAGCTATGGGCATCCTGTGGAACCCAGAATGTTTTGGATATTAAAGAAACGCAATGCTAATGAGGGAAAATTGAAGCTCCATTAATGCTGAGACCCTAAGGACCCCATTACTTCGTACAGTATTGTCACAAAGGTACAACACAAAGATGGTGCCTAAAAACTGTTACATAAATGAATGAATTTCTAACAGGGAATGGAAGAGTACCAAGCACTAATTCCCTTGACTTGCCCATTTGGCCCAGGACTGCCACTTGGGCCATTATATATGATTATATATGTTGTAAACTGCAAAATATTAGGGGATGTTACCCATATAATAAAGATGTGAACACAGAAGTATGGCTGCTGCTCTGAGTCCTAGCCCCTGTCCAAATCAGCCTATATGATGACCTCAATGATCCCCACCTCTTGATAGTCATCCCTTTATAGATTCCCGTACTATATTATGTAAGGTTAGTGTAATGCTGGGAAGTCATGGTATGTTGCTTTCAGGATTACCTTATAAAAGATATCAGTCACGGGCATTTGCAGTTCCAGCTACTCAGAAGATAACTTGAACCCAGGAATAGCAAGACCCTACCACAGAAAGAAAGGAAGAAAGAAAGAGAGAGAGAAAGAGAGAGGAAGGAAGGAAAGAAAAAGAGAGAGGGAGAGAGAGGGAGGGAGGAAGGAAAGAGAAGGAAGGAAAGAGAAGGAAAGAAGGAAGGAGAGAAAAGAAAAGAAAGAGAAAAAAGACATTCAGGCTTCTGTCTTGGTTATGTGCATGCTCTGTCTCATCACTCATTGTGGCGAAAGCTAACTGCCATATTGTGAGCATCCCAATGGAGAGGGCCCTATAGGTAGAATCAGAAGTCTCCTGTTAATATGCACATTACCATGCTTGGAAGCAGATCCCTCAGCCTTAATCAAACCTTCAGCTGTTGAGTCCCTGATCAACATCTTGCCTGCAACCTCATGAAAGATTTGGAACCAGGAACATCCAGCTAAGCCACTCTTGAACCTTAAGATAACAAAGGTTTGTTATTTTCAGCCACTAAGTATTGAGAATTTGTTATGTAGCAGTAGATAATTAACACACCATGCTCTCCACTCTATGGTGATGACATCTCTCCCTACCCACCCCCACCAGGTCCTCTCCTTGTCAAGGGTGCTGCAACTGTGGTAGCTTCTGTAGAGCGATTAGTCCCACTCCTGAAATGAGATATTGCCTCCAACTTTCCAGAAACACAAAGGGGATAGGATAATGGATAAAGGATCTTGAGAGAGCATCAGCCAGGAACAGAAAAAAAGGAAAATGATTCAGAGGGGCCACAGGAATAAGAGAGGAAACATCTGCGCTGAAAAAGACTACCAGAACAGAAAGGAAATACTAGTGATACATATGAGTCAGTAATTTATTATGTAATTGGTTGTGGATGAGGTTTTCTTTGTTATATTTATTATAATGTTATTAGTATGATGAATAAAAAAACACTTTTAACTTAGGAAGACTGTGGTAAGGGAACAAAGATAGAAAGTGGAAAAGGCTGTGCTGGTTTGAGCCTTTCTATGGGCAGTGCAGAGGTGCTTTGGAACAGGGTCTCTGGATCCATGATCCTGGCTCTACTCTGATCCTGCCTTGCTCTGAAATCCTGAACCAGTGGCTTAACTTCTTACTGCCACACATTCCTCCCCTAAAACAGGGCTTATTTTAATAGCTAATTTTTATACAAGGTAAGAGGAAGATTAACTGAATTAATGTATATAAGCAACTTGAATAGAGCTTGATGCAAAATGAGGACTTTAGAAGTGTGAGCTACTAGTCTTCCTAGTCCTTTGATAAGTGGGAGGTAATTTAACCCTCAACTTGGGATGTAATTGTCTCATTTGCATTTGCCACTTTCTCTTGCAAGAAGTCTTCCAGGTGAAGCACAGTAGCATGTGCCCTTGAACCTTATATCATTTAGAAGCCTCTGAACATTTCTTGCTGGGGGTCCCTTAGGGGCAGAGACGATGCCTTATTAATCTCCATGTGTATGCTTTAGTATAAAGAGAAGTCACCCCATAAGGATTGGTTAAGTGAATTCATATATCTGCTTTTTCACCTGCCATTTCCCCAAATTGTGGAACACTTAGGAATTGAGTGTCATTGTTTCATCTCAGCAACATTTTCAAAGAATGTGTAAGTTTTTTTAAACGGTTTTTTAATAAAGCCAGAAGTATTTTCAGAATACTTTCCAGTATTTCATGAATCTTCTGGCCCTTTCTGCAGGTTCCATGAAGAAAAACTGTGGAATCCCCTTATATATGGCTAAATGTGAAAGAGGCTGAATTTCTCTTATTGCTTTTATTTCCTTTTTACCTTGGTAATACTTTCTATACTTGGAAGTCCACAATTTTTTAATAAGTTTTGCTGAGACCATACAATTCACAGACCCTACACTTCACCAATTTAAAGTATATAATTTGGTAATTTTTAGTATACTTACATATTCAGTGACAGGGACAGTTTTTGTGAGTGGAGAAGAATAAAGTTTCTTCTGCTTTCTTTCACTTTCTGTGTATTCTGCTGTATTTTTCTGGTGACCAGCACTTACCATGAGGGCGCTGTGGATAAGCCATTTGTTTGTTCTCTCTGGGATTAATATCCAAATCATGGTCATTTGAAGAGGTAGCACCATCAAAGAGACCAAGTATCAAGGCTCCCAGATGGTAGCTCATCTTAATAGCCTGGCCATATTCAGGCTGTATCCTCTAACAGCCAGCATTCCCCCACCCTTATATTGGTTGGATGCACAGGGAAGTGAGCACCAAGATAAAATGAGAAATGCAAGAGATTTATCTACATATATATTTGGAAGATAAAGAGGAAAGGAAACAAGATGTCTGTAACAGGAAAGGAATGGGTAGGAAGAACCTCATGCTGAAGGGAAATTCTGAGGCAGTCTCATCTAGCCTAACAGAAAGATTGCCATACATACTGAGCAGCAGTTGCTGGATCCTAGTGCTGCCATCTTGCTTGGTCATTTGTTGGTTCTACCTGGAAAGAATCTGTCCTTGGCTCAGATGCTAAGGTAGGTCTTGAAGACACTAGGAGCTGGCAGCTGGCAGCTGACTGGATGCCTTACAGTAGGTAGGAGAGTTCTTGGAGAGCGATCTCAGCCATACCTAGATTATGAGCTTTGAGCTTTTTTTGATCAAAGCAGCTATCCTTCCCCTAGTTCTTTTATTTGCCTAATAGTTGAAGTGTTTGTCAGTAGACCGGCCCCAGAGAGTTAAAACAAATGCCCGGGATCTTCTTCAGAGGCTTAAAGTTAGAATGAGTACAATATTAGTTTTCTTACTAGTTTCTAGAACTTTTTTCTCTTTTAAAGGTACTAGAGAGAGGCCCATAGAAGAATACATAAGAATTCAAATAGCCAGGCTTGGTGGTTTATGCCTCTGTAATCCTAGCACTAAGGAAGAGTGAGGCAGGAAGATCACAAATTTGAGTCCCATTTAGGCAATTTAGTGAAACCCTCTCTCAAAATGAAATGAAATAAAATGATAAAATAGCCCTGGGGATGAAGCTCAGTGGTAGAGTACTCCTGGGTTCGATCCCTGATACTATAAAAAAAAAAAATTCATATAGTTGGTTCCTTTGCCCTCCCACCAAACCTGTTCCAAAACCACCTCTCTAAGGAGTTACACACTGCTAAAGAAGGTTCAAATGGAAAAGCTTTCTTGTCCAACTTCTTATTTAGAGTGGAGGCCGACAAACACTCTGTTTCACCCGTCTTCAGCATAACTTTGCCAAGAAAATAAGCTACAAGCTGCTTTTAACTCACAAAAGAGAGTATCAATTGACCCACATGGTATATATGTAAATATCTTCATACAGTGTACATATAATTCACTCTTAATTTGATACTCACAATTTATAATTAGCATTGAATGAGTAATAAAAATTGTTTTGTGAATACTACCAGCAATCTGTTGGATATTTTTCTCCTGATTTATAGACTTTTTTATCAGTGAAATTTTATAGTGAATAACCTTAATCACATTGTCACTAAGTTATGAGTATTTCATTTATACTATTTAGTAGTACAAACGTCATATGAAATTATGTTTTAAAATCTACTTAAGTTTTTAAAGAAGCCACTTACATCACATAGTTTTTTCCCTTCCCCTTCTGTGAAACATTTTTCCATCTGTTATTTCTGTTTTTCTCTTTTTCTGCCCTTAACCCTTGGTCAGGACTCATGGGATACCACGGATTGGGGATGGACAGGCGAAAGGAAGAGGGAAGGGCCACAGTGTGAGTCTAAGCTGTTTCAACCTAAGATATGGATTAGAGTGGTAGAACAAGCCTGAAAGGAGGAGAGGAATATTTAAATGAGGGCCCAAGGAGTGTCCTGAGAAGAACTGACCTGAACAGAAGAAAAAAAGATGGGAGGCATAGATGATTTGAGCTTTTCTTGATCATAGCAGGTATCCTGCCCCTAGTTCTTTTATCATTCTCTATAAGGGCAATTCTTCGCAAGACATGAAGATTTTTACTTAAGTCCAAGAAGAAAAAATTCTAAGAACAGCTATTTGCCCACAAAATGTGTTTGACAACAGTTGCATAATATAACACAAAGAAGGAAGTCAGGTGTTGCCGTGTGGAAGGAATTGACAAAGTGGGAAGTGACACCAGCAGGGTCAGTGGCTTGGCCCAGAGGGGCAGCTTTTGAACTGGGAGGTGATAGCACAGAACAGTCTGGGTGCATCAATGGAGGGTGTTGCAGGCCCTGAGCCAGTAAGAGAGCACACGTTACCTTTCACATCGCCACCCTTCCAGGAGCCAGAAGTGGGAAGAAGGAAGTGGGCTGTGTTATGAGCACCCGTGAGAGTGCACTGGTGACTCCCAGGGAGGATGCAGAGGGCCTCTGGAGGAGGACTCCGCTCTTACAGCAGTGGGAATGACCTTGTAGAACGTCTAATCCAAGCCCCATCTGACTTAGAATTCTTTCCAGAAACTTTGCTTGTAGGTCTCCAGCGACAGGGCCCACCTGTCTCCCCTAATCACTGCATCTCTTGTTAGCTTTGCCTTTCTTTACCCCAAATTGCTTCACAATCCTTTTCACACTACACTTTGAGGGCTACAGAATGATGCTCACAGCCCCTCTGTAGAAAAGTTCTTTGATTATTTAAGAAGGGCTAACACACCTCATGAGTTGATTCCTCCCTAAAGTGAACATCTTTTTCTTCACTTGTTCTTCATGTGGCAGGGGTTTGTATTTTCTCACCATTTATGGCACTCTCTTCCAAATACACTGTAATTTGTCTGGATTTCTCTTAAAATATGGTGTCCGGAACTGAACATGATATTCCAGGAGGAATCAGTTCAGCTAAGAGCAGAAAGAATGAAGCTATTTGTTACCTGCTATCCCCATTCCAGGAATTTGCCATTCCCAACTGCTACATGTAATATAAATTCCCATTCTGTATGGGGATATTGCTTTTCAACCACACATTACATTAGGGTCAAGGGAAATTTTTTTTAAAAAATTAAATTCAGGAGCCCCAAGAGTCCCGGAAACAGTCTTGGCATATCAATTTTCTTCATTTTAAGTCTTTGCCTCTCAAATTAGCATGCATCCTCCAAAGGCCTATAGAAAATAAGGTTGTCACTTCTCGAATGTATAAAGAGCTTAAAAAATTCAGAGCCCCCAAATTTAAAGACCCAATCCAAAAATGGGCATCTGAAATGAACAGACATTTCTCAGAGAAAGAAGTAGAAATAGGAAATAAACATATGAAAAAATGTTCAGTGTCACTGGTCATTCGAGAGATGCAAATGAAAACAACACTGAGATTCCACCTCACTCCAGAAAGAATGGCTGCTATCGTGAAATCAACCAATAACAAATGCTGGCAGGGCTGTGGGGAAAGAGGAACCCTGCCCCACTGCTGGTGGGAGTGTAGACTGGTGCAACCACTGTGAAAATCAGTATGGAGATACCTCAAAGAACTAGGACTTGAAGTCCCATTTGACCCAGCTATTCCACTGCTGGGTATCTTCCCCAAAGAATTAAAAGAATCATACCACAGTGATATTTGCACATCCATGTTCATAGCAGCACAATTTGTAATAGCTAAAACTTGGAAGCAGCGCAAATGTCCATCAACTGGAGACTGGATAAAGAAAATGGGTTTTTAAAAAATAAAGTGGAGTACTACTCAGCCATAAAAAATGAGAAATTAGAGACATTTATAGCTAAATGGATGCACATTGAGGTGATACTGTTAAAGTGAAATAAATAGGACACACATGTAAATACTGAATAGTTTCTCTGGTGTGATAAACTGAAAGTGTAAATAAGGACTAAATGTATAATAGGTAATGTGAAATAGGAAGATAAGGGGCAAAGGGGAAGGAAGTGGGAGGGCTAGGGGAAAGGATAGAAGGGAATGGGATTAATATGAGAAAATGGAAAAATGGGAACAAAATCTTTGTAAAGGGAGGAATGGAGGGGTTGAAGGGAGGGCTGGGCAAGGGTGAAAAATAAAAACCAAGCGAGATTATGTAAAGGTGCAAATTTCCAATGATGAATGTCATTATATTGTAAACCTAAAATGTACCAATAAAATAAAAAAAAAGAAAAGAAGGTTGTCGCTTTCCTCCATCCCTCCCTCCCTCCCTCCCTCCCTCTCTTCTTTCTTTTCTTTTCTTTTCTTTTCTTTCTCAAGGGCTTTCACACTAAGCTATATCACCATTACCAGTTCCTTTAAAATTATTTTGGTAAATTTTGAGACAAGGTCTCCCTAAGTCACTAAATTGCCCAGACTGTGCTTGAACTTGTAATCCTCCTGCCTCAGCCTCCCAGAGGCTGTTACCAGACAGGGACTGAGGACGTTCCTGAAGATGAGATAAGGAACCGAACCTGCCCTTCTTGTAGAATAAGGTTTGCTGACTCCCATCATTGAAAAAGAATTTTCAGGATGAGTCACGGAAAGGCAGAAATTAAAAAGTTCACACTCAAAGAAATAGAGTGCAGTTGAGAGACAGAGACAGAGACAGAGACATTATTTCCTGGAACTGAGGGCGTTCATGCTTCTCTCGAAAGCTGTCCCCTCAGAAGCGCACTGGCCCATGTTACAAGGATGAGCCTAGGTTTTTTTGTTTTTTAAGATGGATAGTTTAAGCGTTCTTTGAATCCTGTCAACCTGCTCCTTTATCTTAGGACCAGCTTGTTGCTGTTCACTTTCTCAAGCCCATGCATGGACTTTCGGTGTTCCCCTGGAATTCTAGGTGCAACAGTCTGGGAGGGAAGGAGGTGGGTGGCCTTGGGTGACTTCCACTGGGTCTTGGGAGTTGCCGTCTTCTCCAAAGTCCAATTTCAGTTGGTTTTCTTGTCTCCTTTCTACCTCTGGCTCCTCTCCCACCTCACTGGGGTCACAGGTCCTCAGCGCCTTGCCTGCCCCTCAATGTCATCTGCCCTCCATGTCTCAGTCATTGTCCACTTTTCCAAAATCGGAGCTCTGCCTCTTCAGCCCAGCTCTCCCACAGCAGATTCGATGAATAGATGGCAGAAGGAGCATCCTGTCCTGTCCTGTCCCACCCCAGATGGCCTTAGTGGAGGGAGGGAGCAACCTCGAATTGCAGGATTAGCAGGAATATTTGAGGATGAGAGCAACACGGGGATGGGCTGGCTGGGAGGGGCTGGAGGGCGCAGGCCTTGGGGTGCCAAGGCAGCCTCAGGAGGAGGTTCCCCAGCAAACAGAGCCAGCTGAGCTTTCCCAAGCTGGGCGTGGTTGGGAGCAGCACTCGCTGGGCTTGGTGACCCCCAGGGTGACACAGCAGTGGTCTGTCCAGGAGCCATGTGGCCCTCAGCACAGACAGGGACACGCCTGGGGTGCGGACACCTCAGGACTGTGCTCAGCTGAGTATCTCTGTGGCTGAGGGGGGACAGGAAGAAGAGACACCCTGCTCCTGCTCCAGACCCACTTCTAAGATGCTGCTTTCTACACTGGACAAACAGTCAGGATTTTTATACCAGAACTCTGAGTGCAACAGAAAACAAGACAACTATAAACAATGCAAAATTTATCCACAGAGTTAAATATAGCCCAGCTAAGCTGAATGGAGTGGCTCACTCTAGGAGGCCGAGGCAGGAGGATAGCAAATTCAAGCCCAGCCTAGGCAACTTCGCGACTTAGCACCTGTATCAAAATAAAAAATAAAAAGGGCTAGCGATGTAGCTCCACATTGTCAAGAATGATAGGATAAGTGTGTCCAAAGCAAGAGGAAGTATTTTGAGGGGGATTAACGGTAATGTGTCTTTTATTGTAATAAAATTTTTAAAATTTAAACATCTACTGTAGCTTTTGATTATCCTACATTGATCAAACATTTACGGCAATTTCTGTCAAAGGAAAACATTATGGTGCATCCTCATCCACATTATTCACTAGATCTGGCACTGTGCAACTTCTGTTTGTTCACCAAAGTCAAAATGACCGCGAAAAGTAAATGTTTTGAATCGATTCAGGACATTGAAGAAGCCACACCAGCACAACTAAAGACACTCTTGAAAGAGGACTTCCAGACCTGCTTGAGAAAGTGGCTAGAACAATGGGATAAGCGTGCTCCAAGAAAGAAGGAGTATTTTGAGGGGATTCATGGCAGTATGTCTTTTACTATAATAAATTTTTAAAATTTTGTAAAAAAAAAAAAATAAGGTTGCCAGCTTAAAGAATAGTCATAAATTTTACCTCTTTCAGAAACTCCTGGTTGGTTCTCTTAAAAACGTGTGCTTTATACTTACCTGACAGGGGAGATACCATGATCACGAAGGTGGTTTCCCAGGACTGGTCTTATCCATTGCACTCCGGATGTGCTGACCCTTGCGATTTCCCCAAAACTCAACTGCTTGAAAAAAAAAGTGTGCTTAAAGGGGAAAACAAAGGTATTGATGACAAGTTAAAATTATGTACTCTTATCTCAAGAATATAGAGACTTTTCTCCCATAGAAGAATTAGTTGCTTTGTTGTTGTTTCTGAAATTATGTTTCCACTTCGGTAGTAAAAACAACAAAATGATTTATTGAAATTGCCTTCCTTGGTTTCAACTACAAAATACACATAGGAGCAGAATATTAATATTTTCTTTTTTTCTTGCTTTTGCTGTGCTGGGAATTGAACCCAGGCCCTTGTACATGTTAGGCAAGTGCTGGATCACTGAGCTACACCCCTAGCCCTAGTATTTTCTTTCAATATGAATTTATTACAGCAAGAAAACTTTGTTGTATAAATATGTTTACATTTATATCTAGAACATTTGCTGGTGCAGCCATGAGTAATAATTAATCCAAGCATGGTTGACTGCACAGTACAACTTCATTACATTTACACTACTAATAGTTTGTTTACTAAACTTTTTTCCTTCCACATCACAAATTCAACAATCCCTACATGTCCTATATTTTGATATTTTTATTTCTAATAGCTGAATTATGCATAAACATGCCCTTAGTTGTGTAGTATTTTTAAACACCAGGTTGTTTCACACCTCTTTACCTTTAGATAAAGATCTAGGGATCTATTGCTGCATAACAAACCATATCACTATGTGATGGTTTAAATAATAGCGCTCATTTAGTTTTCTCATGAATTTGAAATTTGGTCAGGGTTTGGTGGAAAAGGCTTATCTCTACTGTACACAGTGTCACCTGATGCAGTGACCAAAGGCTGGAAGATCTGTTTTTGAGATGGCTCATTCTTATGGCTGGCAAGTTGGTGCTGGCTGTCAGCTGTATTTCAGCAGGAGTCCTGTATAGGGACCTCAGTTCCTTCCCACCAGAACTTTCTGTGGCCTGCTTGGCTTCTTCATAGCATGGTGATTGGATTCCAAAGGCAAGCATCCCATGAAAACTAGCTAAGAAGTGCATAGTGTTTTCTCATTTAGCCTCATAAATCACATAGTATCCCTGCCCATTGTATTCATGAAGGCAGTCCTATAAATTCACTCAGATTCAAAGAGAAGGGAATTAGACTTCAGCCCTTGATAGGGGAGTAGAAAATTTTTAGAAGTTGTTATGCAACTAGAAATAATGTTGCAGGCATCTCTGGAAAAATGCATTCTGCCACACATGTTATTCCCTTTGCCCAAAATCCTCTTTCCTTCTTTTGTTCTCTGTGAAACCCAGTTCATCCTTCAATGTTCTACTCAGACATTACTTTCATTATGAAACATTTTCCTAGAAAAGTGTTAATCACCACTTCTGCTGTGTCAACTATGTATGTGTCTTATACATACCTCTATTATTCCCCTTTATATAGTGTCTTACTGAGGCAAGAGGATAGCAAATTCAAGTCCCACCTGAGCAATGTAGTGATTTAGACCCTGTCTTAAAATTTTAAAAAGGGGAGGCTCCTCGGCTGTGTTCTGGTTCCTGTCCATGGCACAGAGAGGTCCCGGGAGCGGCTTAGAGCCCCGCTTTCATCCGGTGCTCTGCTTAGCCAAGCGGGAGCCTGCAAGGCCTAATTCCATCCCCACCACCACCACCTTACGGCTCTTCTGCTACCTGGTCCCTCACTACAGAGGCACAGGGGATTATACTTCACATAGTTAAATGTGATAGATTAATAACTACCACAAATTGTCATTTTCTAAGCTGCACTTGATGCTATGGTATTGCTGATTGTAACATTTGGCCTAACATGCTGTGATTGACCTAATCAGTTTTCCTTCCTGGTATAAGGAAAA